CTCATATACCATAGCATATCCCATACTGTACCATACCACCACATCCCTCATATACCAGTATCCTATATACCATATAGCATATCCCATACTGTACCATACCACCACACATCCCCTCATATACCATAGCATATCCCATACTGTACCATACCACCACACACATCCTCATATACCATAGCATATCCCATACTGTACCATACCACCACACATCCCCTCATATACCATAGCATATCCCATACTGTACCATACCACCACACATCCCTCATATACCATAGCATATCCCATACTGTACCATACCACCACACATCCCCTCATATACCATAGCATATCCCATACTGTACCATACCACCACACATCCCCTCATATACCATAGCATATCCCATACTATACCATACCACCACACATCCCCTCATATACCATAGCATATCCCATACTGTACCATACCACCACACATCCCCTCATATACCATAGCATATCCCATACTGTACCATACCACCACACATCCCCTCATATACCATAGCATATCCCATACTGTACCATACCACCACACATCCCTCATATACCATAGCATATCCCATACTGTACCATACCACCACATCCCCTCATATATACCATAGCATATCCCATACTGTACCATACCACCACACATCCCCTCATATACCATAGCATATCCCATACTGTACCATACCACCACACATCCCCTCATATACCATAGCATATCCCACACTATACCATACCACCACACATCCCCTCATATACCATAGCATATCCCATACTGTACCATACCACCACATCATCATCATCATCATCATCATCATCATCATCATCATCATCATCATCATCATCATCATCATCACCACCACCATCAACAACAACAACAACAATAGCATCCATTCGATACAGCTTTTCCAGGCTAGATACCATGCCCAAATCAGTATATACTCGCTTTTCTCCCAACTCTCTGAGTCTGAGTAACCATCCCAGGGCGTATGTAAGGCGTGAGGAGGTTCAGTCTACACAGACTACCGGGTATCCATTCACATCTGTGAGAACAGAGGCCTATTTCGCACAAAGCCATTTGCATAAAGATAAGACACACGTGCGTCAAGTGCCTCAGTGTGGGACAGGACCCCCGGAACTACCAGGAATTAAGCTGCCGAAAGCTGACCCCCATCCATCTACCCCAGCACATCATAAATAGGTCCTGAAGAATGACATAATGATATACTGGCTGTACATTGTAGCGTTGTATAGCGACCTGGAGCCTCACATTCAACTCAACAACTTAAGTGGTGTCATCTAGTACACAGATAACTGAAAATATCAACACACCCAAAACAACGCTTATTCCCGCTTGTCTGGATCATACAGACTTATCGGGCGGTAATCCCATACAAATACAGCAACAATACACAGACCTTGATCCCTTGAATTTCTTCTCATATTTTGATGATGACGTGTGGACTCCCACAGGCTGGTGGGGAGATACTTACGGCATCCTGTCACCCATGACGCCATTCATAATGTAGCATGGATTGTGATGTTGCGACTTGTTTGACACGGGTAGCACCGAGAGCGTGAGAATCACGTTCCCGGTGATGTAAATAAACACCAAGTGAAAGACGAAAGCGGAAGCCAGAGTTTCTGTTGCTGATGTTGTAACAAAACACAACAACAACAGCAATACAACCAGGTACTCGCTTCCCTCTATAACAGTCGTTACCAAGGAAAGTATTTTCCTATATAACGACCAGGGTCTTACAAGGCTTAAAGTGCCTATTCTTCAACGACCAGGCTCCACGTCAAACTGTATACTCTCTATATCGCTATATCGGTAAGAATCTTCATAGGATGACACTAACCTCTTTATAACGACAGGGATCTCCATATGATGATATTTACATCTCTATAACGTCAATGATCTCCATAGAATGACACAGACCTCTCCATAACGACAAGGGGTGAGTGAGTGAGTAAGTATGGTTTTACGCCACTTTCTAGCAATATAACGGCGGGGGACACCGGAAATGGGCTTCACACATTGTACCCATGTGGGGAATCGATCCCTGGCCTTCGGCGTGAAGAGCGAACGTTTTAACCACTATGCTATCCCACCACCCCAATATAACGAGAAAGAGCTCCACAGGATGACTTTTACTTCTCTATAACAAGGATCTCCATAGAATGACATTGACCTCTCCATAACGACAAGGATCTCGATAGAGTGACACTGACCTCTCCATAACGATAAAGATTTCCATAGGGTGACTCTTGCCTCCCTATAACGACAAGGATCTCCACAGGATGACTTTTACCTCTATAACGGGCAAATATTCCCATCGAATGACACTCATCTCTCTATAACGACAAGGATCTTCACGTGGTGACATTCACCCCTTGATAACAACAAGGATCTTCACATGGTGACAATGACCTCTCTATAACGATAAGAATGCCCACAGAGTTACATTGACCTCTCTATAACGACAAGGATCTCCACATGGTGACCTCGCTATAACTACAAGGATCTCCACATAGTGACACTGACATCTCTATTACAACAAGGATCTCTGTTGGGACCAGTGTTTCCCTAAATTAAAATGGCCCCTTTTTCCTCTAAAATCCGACCAGCTTTATCATGGATAAAATTGACTTAATTGGATACTTGAGGTCATGAGCCTTAATATTTGCTGAAACATGACATATTTCCATACACAGTAATAAAGTGATTATCGGCCGTCGTTAAAGGTAAGGCAAAGGATGGTGATATGACAGCTAAATATTGAACCAGCTAGGAATCTCCCCAAAGCTAAACACAGTGGTGGATGATAGAAAAGGTTGTGTTTAACATGGAAAGTTGACACGTATTGGGCAGATGTGATCAAAGGAAAGACACAGAATGCTGGCATGACCTTCCAGGGGTGGTCATACAGAATATTCATACACAGGTGTGACGGAACCTTTCTTCATCCACAGCCTTGACTATCTCAAATATGACCTAGGACCAAACTGGGAATTAAAGAATGTCGAGCGACCGACTAGGGGAGGTGGGAGGACCTCACTGAAGGACGTCAAGAGTCCACTAGGGACGTGGGGGACCTCACCGAAGTACGTCATGGGTCCAACTGGGGACGTGCGAGGACCTCACTGAAGGACGTCAAGGGTCCAACTGGGGAAGTGGGAGGAGCTCACTGAAGGACGTCAAGGGTCCAACTAGGGAAGTGAGAGGACTCACTGAAGGATGTCAAGGGTCCAACTAGGGATGTGGGAGGACCTCACTGAAGGATGTCAAGGGTCCAACTAGGGAAGTGGGAGGACCTCACTGAAGGATGTCAAGGGTCCAACTAGGGATGTGGGAGGACTCACTGAAGGATGTCAAGGGTCCAACTAGGGATGTGGGAGGACCTCACTGAAGGATGTCAAGGGTCCAACTAGGGAAGTGGGAGGACCTCACTGAAGGATGTCAAGGGTCCAACTAGGGATGTGGGAGGACTCACTGAAGGATGTCAAGGGGATGTGGGACTCCACTGAAGGATGTCAAGGGTCCAACTAGGGAAGTGGGAGGACCTGGGAGGACTCACTGAAGGATGTCAAGGGTCCAACTAGGGATGTGGGAGGACCTCACTGAAGGATGTCAAGGGTCCAACTAGGGATGTGGGAGGACTCACTGAAGGATGTCAAACTAGGGTCCAACTAGGGAGTGGAGGACTCACTGAAGGATGTCAAGGGTCCAACTAGGGAAGTGGGAGGACTCACTGAAGGATGTCAAGGGTCCAACTAGGGATGGAGGACTGGGAGGAACTAGGGGATGGAGAGGACTCACTGAAGGATGTCAAGGGTCCAACTAGGGATGTGGGAGGACTCACTGAAGGATGTCAAGGGTCCACTGAAGGAAGGATGTCAAGGGTCCAACTAGGGATGTGGGAGGACTCACTGAAGGATGTCCAAGGGGACGTGGGAGGACCAACTAGGGATGTGGGAGGACTCCACTGAAGGATGTCAAGGGTCCAACTAGGGATGTGGGAGGACTCTCACTGAAGGATGTCAAGGGTCCAACTAGGGATGTGGGAGGACTCACTGAAGGATGTCAAGGGTCAAGGGTCCAACTAGGGATGTGGGAGGACTCACTGAGGATGTCAAGGGGTCCAACTAGGGATGTGGAGGACCTCACTGAAGGATGTCAAGGGTCCAACTAGGGATGTGGGAGGACCTCACTGAAGGATGTCAAGGGTCCAACTAGGGATGTGGGAGGACCTCACTGAAGGATGTCAAGGGTCCAACTAGGGATGTGGGAGGACTCACTGAAGGATGTCAAGGGTCCAACTAGGGATGTGGGAGGACCTCAAGGGTCCAACTAGGGATGTGGGAGGACTCACTGAAGGATGTCAAGGGTCCAACTAGGGATGTGGGAGGACCTCACTGAAGGATGTCAAGGGTCCAACTAGGGATGTGGGAGGAGGACAAGGGTCCAACTAGGGATGTGGGAGGACTCACTGAAGGATGCCAAGGGTCCAACTAGGGATGTGGGAGGACTCACTGAAGGATGTCAAGGGTCCAACTAGGGATGTGGGAGGACCTCACTGAAGGATGTCAAGGGTCCAACTAGGGATGTGGGAGGACTCACTGAAGGATGTCAAGGGTCCAACTAGGGAAGTGGGAGGACTCACTGAAGGATGTCAAGGGTCCAACTAGGGATGTGGGAGGACTCACTGAAGGATGTCAAGGGTCCAACTAGGGAAGTGGGAGGACTCACTGAAGGATGTCAAGGGTCCAACTAGGGATGTGGGAGGACTCACTGAAGGATGTCAAGGGTCCAACTAGGGATGTGGGAGGACTCACTGAAGGACGTCTGGCTATATATTCATGAGAGGCAATAAAACAATGGCAGGGTGTCACGGGATGCGTGTTGAAATACCACACTGTGAATGAAACCTAGTTGTAAGACTGTAGCGTTTGATACATTAGAGAAAACCGAGTGTCATAACTCCATTCTGTAAACTTACCCGATAACGCCCAGGACTTGATCGATGCATACGTGTTGTCGGTCTCTCCGCCAGATTCGTCGTCACTGTTGGCGGCGATAGAGACGTAGGACGTTGTGTCGCTACGGGCCACACCCCCGTGATACCTCACGGACAGTTCGGGGTTTGTGATAAGTGTGGGCCGATCAGCTTTAGCTGGCTGGCTGCCGTGTCGGCCGTGGAGGAGATTCTTCCACAAGCCCATTATACAGTCAACGTATAGGAATTAACGTCACTGAATAGGGATCAGATACAGCTCACATATAGCTGCATCATATTCGTGCACAAAGGATAGCTGTCCATCGTGGACGTCAGCGGTACCGGGCGGAACGTTAACAGCGACGTTCTGAATCACATGTACGTTCCTGTAACATCAGAGGCTGAAGATTTGAAGTCTTGTCAAGTTGCCGGGAGCTATGATGTTGTTAACGTTCCAGTAGTAACTGCACTGTTAAACACGCTTCTGTGGTCGATACATCGATCGTTACAAAGAGACAGAAATCACTGAGTCGTGGCCATGGCATGTCATTGTAAGCAAACAGTCTTTGTTGTAGTATATTATTGTAGTAGGTATCCCATCCAACCAGGCGTGGCGGTCACACACTGCTAGCAGTAACACCTGGGCAATTACACCTACCTGTCAGTCACGTGAGACGATGCTGCCTCGTGCACCAATACACTGCACTAATTACTGGGAGGTCACAACGACATACCGTCAACATGGCAGTCGATTACTGCGATCCTCTTGCAGGAACGGTTCCAACTCCGAGGGAAACCGCCATGGATCCGTGTAGATTATGACTGCCGGTCTTACTGCTATGTGGCACGGTTATCACCCCTTATGGTACCAGTACTGGCTCCCTTCAGTCCACTAGCTATTGGTTTATTTCTCCTTCGGTACGATGTAGGAACTGCTTTCCCTATCGGTACGATGTAGGAACCGCTTTCCCTGTCGGTACGATGTAGGAACCGCTTTCCCTGTCGGTACGATGTAGGAACCGCTTTCCCTGTCAGTACGATGTAGGAACCGCTTCCCTGTCGGTATGAGCTTCTTTTACTGCTGTCACCAGAGGTCTTCAGCCTCGGCACTGGTTCCGTTCACTGGTGGTTCTAATTCTCCATTATACCAATTCTAACTCTTGCAGTCACCTTTCTGTCGCCCTACTATGACTTTACCTCCTCAGCACACCTGCGGGTCCGTCTCCTCAAATGAATCTTGCCTCCTTGGTTATACTCGCAAACCTTGCTTGCAGATGTATCACCTGTGTTTCTTGTCTTCCGAAACCTCATGTGCCATAGTTCATAGCTATAATCCGTGTACCGGCTGACAGAGTTGTAGTAACCGTCACATGTCACAACGAATATTCGTAGAATCAGGACCCTCGGGTCAGACGGCTGCCATGCAGGCTCACGATGCGTGCAGGGTCTGCCACGGTTTCGTTCGTGGTCACCGACACACCGGAAAAATGTCACCGGCAGATCTCACAGCAATCTGTGTTGGGTCTTTGTCACCAGCAAATCTTACAGATTACGTCCAGGTGGCTCTCTGTCACATGCAAATCTTACAGAAGTCTTACATCCAGGTGGCTCTCTGTCCGAGCTCGACAGCAGACGAGCATATTCTGTTCACCGTGAATAATGAACGCGGAGACAATATACGGCTAGGTAGACTGGGACACGCCTGATCTGCTGCACGCCGGGCGAATGAAGGTAAAGCTGCTGTATGCACATCGATCCAAATTCCTTTGAATAATTAAATGAAAGGTTTGCATCATTCCAAGGCCTGTCTCTGATTGGAAATGTTGATTGGGTCAATGAGAGTGATGCTACAAGCTAAAGAGACAGAGCTGCTTGAATCTCCACGTCTGTCCCCTGCCTGCTACACAGCAGTACTGCCCCTCTCCCGGGCTGGCTGACCCCTAACCTGACCCAGGATCTCACACGGCTACAGAGGAGGGCCTACAGAGGACGCGACACAGTAACACAACATAGCCTCGGGCAGGTAGAAGAACAAATCAGCCAGGTTGTTTTCGGTGGCGATAGTCATCCCAATAACACATTTGATGTTATAATCCAGTCGCGCTGAAGCTGTGTCAATACTTCGCCATGTCATCCAATTAGGTGGCGGCGGTGTAGATCAGTGGAACAAATCCTCCTCCTCCTCAGTGTGTGTCGTGTTTGTTTAGTAACACACGTATATAATGAAGTGTAAACTTGACGTGGTCGTGATATGGAGACTCAGCTTCCCAGTAGTGATAACCCTGTGTATACATATGTTGTACATTCGGCTCTACGTGCTTAGTGATCCTGGTATACCCCGATGCGGTAGGTGCAGGACAACAGCGGTATAGCCGGTGGCGAACTGGAGGAAGTGTGATGGTGTGGAGAGACAGGGCGGTATACCCACGGACACCCGCCTTTGTACTGCCGAAATCCAAAACAAACGCAGCGAGACCGACCTTTTCATGGGTCACCTCGCAGAGGGAAGGCGAGCCACAGGGTAGGACGCAGTGCCGGTCCAAGGGCTCGTTAAACAGTTAATAGACTGGGCTGATTTGACGACTCCCTTCTCAATCGTCCGTCTGCACACCCAGCGTCTTATACTGATACCCCTCGTTATAACACTGCTGCACATTCTTTTGTGTGACCTAGGTATTCTTTCCTGTAATATCCATTAAACCTTTGCGTAGGTGTCAGTGACCGCTTTGTTTCTGCGTAACTACCAAGGGCTATTGAGTCAGTATCTAGGTCTACCATGTATCTATAAGTACCGAGGGAGGCCGTGCCTGTGTGTAACAAGTAGCTACTATTATATCTGTGTATTCATTCACATATCTGTGTAAGTATTGAGGGCTACTAGCTGTGACTGTGTGTAAGAATCGAGGGCCACTGTGTCCGTGTGTACGTATCGAGGGCTACTGTGTCTGTGTGTACGTAACAAGTAACTACTATATATCTGTGTCTTTGTAAGAATTAAGGGCTACTGGCTGTGTATGCGTGTGAATCCCGAGGGCTACTGGCTGTGTCTGTGTGTGAGTCTCGAGGGCTACTGGTTGTGTCTGTGTGTGAGTCTCGAGGGCTACTGTGTTCGTGAGTCTCGAGGGCTACTAGCTGTGTCTGTGTGTGAGTCTCGAGGGCTACTAGCTGTGTCTGTGTGTGAGTCTCCAGGGCTACTAGCTGTGTCTGTGTGTGAGTCTCGAGGGCTACTAGCTGTGTCTGTGTGTGAGTCTCGAGGGCTACTAGCTGTGTCTGTGTGTGAGTCTCGAGGGCTACTAGCTGTGTCTGTGTGTGAGTCTCGAGGGCTACTAGCTGTGTCTGTGTGTGAGTCTCGAGGGCTACTAGCTGTGTCTGTGTGTGAGTCTCAGGGCTACTAGCTGTGTCTGTGTGTGAGTCTCGAGGGCTACTAGCTGTGTCTGTGTGTGAGTCTCGAGGGCTACTAGCTGTGTCTGTGTGTGAGTCTCCAGGGCTACTGGCTGTGTCTGTGTGTGAGTCTCCAGGGCTACTAGCTGTGTCTGTGTGTGTGAGTCTCGAGGGCTACTGGCTGTGTCTGTGTGTGAGTCTCGAGGGCTACTGGCTGTGTCTGTGTGTGAGTCTCGAGGGCTACTGGCTGTGTCTGTGTGTGAGTCTCGAGGGCTACTGGCTGTGTCTGTGTGTGAGTCTCGAGGGCTACTGGCTGTGTCTGTGTGTGAGTCTCCAGGGCTACTGGTTGTGTCTGTGTGTGAGTCTCGAGGGCTACTAGCTGTGTCTGTGTGTGAGTCTCGAGGGCTACTAGCTGTGTCTGTGTGTGAGTCTCGGGGCTACTAGCTGTGTCTGTGTGTGAGTCTCGAGGGCTACTAGCTGTGAGTCTCGAGGGCTACTAGCTGTGTCTGTGTGTGAGTCTCGAGGGCTACTGGCTGTGTCTGTGTGTGAGTCTCCAGGGCTACTGGTTGTGTCTGTGTGTGAGTCTCGAGGGCTACTGGCTGTGTCTGTGTGTGAGTCTCCAGGGCTACTGGTTGTGTCTGTGTGTGAGTCTCGAGGGCTACTGTGTTCGTGAGTCTCGAGGGCTACTAGCTGTGTCTGTGTGTGAGTCTCGAGGGCTACTGGCTGTGTCCGGGTGTGAGTCTCGAGGGCTACTGTGTCTGTGAGTCTATAGGATTAGCAGTTGTCTGTCTGTGAAGATATAGGGCTACTGTTTCCCTAGAAGTATCAACGACGACTCCTGAAGTCTGAATTGTCTCCCTTTGAATATCTCCAGATTCTTCGTCTCAGTGTAAGAGACAACTGCGTCTCCAGAGGTGTGAGATACTGCATCATGCTCGGTGAGGTCCATCAGTCCGTACTCTACATCGTGGGGGATGCCGGGGGCTTGACTGGATGAGATAGGCACACACCGACGTTGGACTAGATTTAACTCTTAAACAATGTCATAACAGTGTAAACCCAGAACATCATTGCCCTCTGTCTCTTAAAACGAGACACGTTAGAAAGTTATTTTGAATATGCAATTGTGAAATTGCTGGGTGTTAGTACAAAGACCGAGACTCGACGAAATACAGACACAACAACAATAGATAGCATTGTCTAACTGGATGTCGGCGAGATCAAAACAGGTTGACAAATATTACCTGGCGGGCGCGTGGAAGATGCTCTCAGTGTAGGCCCTTTAAATAGCCTGTCATTAAAGACGGGACATTCCACGACAGATCGAAACATTAGGATGCTATCAAGCGTTAGGGTTGGACGACAGGTCTCGAGATGGGACCGTGAAGGGTAAACGTGACACAGGTACAAAGAGCCACCGCACCCCCACTTTGCCGTATCTATAAATGTAGAAATCGACACCCATTCTATTAAGAGTGTACATTCTTGTCTTTAATCAAGTTTAGATAGCGTTGTCTGAATCTAAAGTTGTGTTTACTTGTTTACACTGCAATTGAAATCTGCACCAGACGACTTCAATTTTTATATTTCCCCTTTATTAAATGGTTATCAAAGACTAAGTTAATAATGACAACTAACACGCCTGTACATGCCTGTTTGTATACTCTACCGTCTCATTAGTCCCATCAAGGCTGGATGTAAATATTTTATTGCTGTCGCTTACATTAAATATACTAATTCTGACTGCCTGTCTTCTGTTCGGTAAAGCGTCCGCCCGGAGAGCGGAAGGTCGCGGGTTCGATCCCCGACCGCGTCATACCAAAAGACGTTAAAATATGGTACTTGTTGGTCCCTGCCTGGCGCTCGGCATTAATGGGTACAACAAGGACTGGTCGGCTCGGAGTCAGTATAATGTGTCTAAGTGGGGTATTCATGCTTCACTGCGGCATGGTATCTCAGTGAGCTAGCACTATAAAACCAGCTTCAGTCTGGGCTAGTACAAGCAGCCGCACATACACATACACACGCATGCACGTCGTCATATGAGCGAAATATTCTCAAGCACGACGTTAAACCCAATTTCACCTCACCTCACCTGTTCGGTAAAGTATGTCAGATCGGTACGTGTGGGACTTGTTGTCGATAGCAGAAAAGTCTTGCAACATCCGGGTCATGTTCTGACCAGCCTCGCTACGCGACACGACATGTATAAGTGAGATCGCCTGCAGGTGCGTGTATGGAACGTCATGCTCACCGGTCGATAGAACAAGAAGCTGCAGGATCAAATTGCAGTAGTTAACACATTCCTGAATAAAACAGTATAACTCTGCACTGTGCCAGGTGATCGGGCTTATACAGCAGCGGCAGCTAGCATAACGATCAACCAGCAGTATATCAATCGGGCTGATGGGGAAAATAATACGGTTTGCAGCGCAAAGAGTGACTGGAACCAGTGTACTTGTACGTTACATCGCAGGGTTTATCACACTCGTTACTAGTTTCGCAACCCTGGAGAAATTGCTGTGTGGTGCTTGTGAATATAATGAATGTTGAAACACATTGCACGCCAACCACCCTCATGTTATCATCGCCTGTTTGTTGACTGTTTCTTTAACGCCGCAATATTCCAGCTATATGTCGGCGGTCTGTAAATAATCGAGTCTGGACCAGACAATCCAGTGATCAACACCATGAGCATCGATCTACGCTGTTGATCTACGCAGTTGGCATACGCATGTGTCAACCAAGTCAGGGAAGCTTACCACCCGATCTCATTAGTCGCATCTTACGACAAGCACGGGTTGCTGAAGATCAATTCTAACGGATCTTCACGGGCCCATGATATCAAATCATATCATCATATTTGCTGTACTTGTGCTCTGTCAGCATAAGCTTCTATGGTCTCAACAAACAGACTAAATCCCCGTTATTATCAGTCTATGTTCTAAAATCAGAATCGTACCCGTGACGGTCCGGGTTAGAATATTGATCTTCAGTAACCCATGCTTGTCGTAAGAGGCGACTAACGGGATCGGGTGGTCAGGTTCGCTGACTTGGTTGACACATGTCATCGGTTGCCCAATTGCGCAGATCGATGCTCATGCTGCTGATCACTGGATTGTCTGGTCTTGACTCGATTATTTACAGACCGCCGCCATATAGCTGGAATATTGCTGAGTGCGACGTAAAACTAAACTCACTCACTCACTCACTCACTAAAATCAGAATCATTATATATACAGGTCGTATGAGACAATCAAAGGGACTGGGTGGCCAGGGTCGGTAACTCGGTTCGTCGTTGCTCACAATATCAACCATAAGTCCAGACTCCATTATTTACCCGCAGCCACTAAGGCTGGACTATCACGGTGGCGTGAACATGGGCAAATAACATGCAATAAATAAAATACAAGTAATTCCATGGCATTTGATGGACTAATCAAACTTCTTGTTTTTCTACGATTCCAGAACTGCTCTTTCCTGATTGGTTGATAACAGAGTGGGCGGGGCTTGTGTTGTATTTTGGACCTGATCAATGCCTCTGAATAATTATTATTTAACTTCTTTGAGAGGCATCTAGACGTTGGGGCAGTAAGGAAGGATAACAATATACAGATGAACAAATTTTGTATTGCTGTGAGAGCTCTCATATTATTGTTGAAATAAATATTTACCAGAAATGAAGTCAATATGGTTTTGCTGATTTACAGAGTGTGCAGTGCTCATCCACTTCAAACCTATTGAAAATAACCGTCCCAGAACAATCACACCACCTACCAATTAGTGCGATTCAATATGCCTCCGTCGTTTAGCTTCCTTAATTGAACAAATCTCATCACAAAGTAAAGCAATGTTGTCCTAAATATAGGCAGGACACCGGCTGGTTAGCGGGACTCACGTGAGCGACCAGACATGACAAATCTGTACACACGCATGCGCAAATGACAACGGTATGGTGAACACTTCAGTGAATATAGCCATTAACTGCCAGTGCAAATGGCGTTACTGGGCACCTCTGATCCACACTCTAGACATAAGGTAGCATTATTAACCCGGTCCTGGCTTAAGGAGGTTTTAACTGCCTTTATTTCCATAAAATGTATCACACTTTGCTGACTTGTAATGGGTAAAACACACGCGTTCTTGCCGTCCGCGTTCTGTTGTATAATGATCAGGCTCCAGACCATTACTCCGGGGTAGATACTACCAGAGTATGTCAGAGCCAT